GTTTTAAATTCGAATTTGTTATTGCGTATTGGTTCGATTATAGAACGATTGTAAACGTTTCAGAAAATTGATCAAATTGAAAATAGTTCGTTTGATTTTCGGCAATTCTCTTCAGCGGTAGGTGTTATATAACAATTACTATGGTTATTGAAATATTGGATGTAAATGGGGTTTGCTTGCAAAACCTCCGCTGACGAAGTCGCGGGTAACAGCTAGTATATATATATATATATATATATTAGTAAGTAAACTATATGAATATGATGAATAAAGAATTTACTTGGTTCAACAGCATTCAGTAAAGGTGTTTTTTCTTTATTTTCTGTTTGTTCCACTGAATTAGACACAGGACGGGACTTATTTGATGTTGTTTCTACTGGAGTTTCATTTTTTTCTCTTCTTACATCAGGACTAGGAGAACGGGACTGTCCTTTATCGCCTGATCCCATTCCACCAAATACTGCACTAGTTAAAGCAGTCACATTTACAAGTGCACCTATTAAAATGCAAAAGAATTTATTGTTGCACATTTTGAACACATCATTAATAATCTTGAAACACTTAAGACAATCACATTACTAAGCATTTTTACATAGAAAGCAATAATTTTCAATCATTTTTTTGATAATAATTTTCAAAAAAATAATTGCTTTCAACTACTGTTAATTCTACTAAGGTAGACTATACACAAGATGAGACAAAGAAGAAATAATTTTTTAAATAAATCTATTGTATGGCAAATTTTGCCTATCTTACAATTATGAAGCAAGGTATGTCTGAAAGGGATTAGAGAGAAGATGAATGGGACTTTCTACTAAAAGATCCACCAGACAACAAAGAATCACACAAGGCAATTTATCTTACCACCCTTGTTGTTGTCGGGTTTTGTTTTGTTGTCAGGTTTTGTTTGTACGGAGTCCGTAAGGCTTTGCTTTAGATGGTGGAACATGCCTGTAGGAAGGATTGTAAAATTAGAGGGTAAGGGGAAACAACAAAGCACATGCACCATAAATTTGGACTACTAAAATCTAAAACATAAAAATATTTATTAATTTATAATATGCAAAATATAGAAAGAAGTGTCATGCAAATTATTTTTGAATTGAAAATAATAAAACATAGTTCACAGTCATATCATGATTAACAATTTCTGCAAATACACCAAAAATAACAAAATGTGATTTATAAAAATAACAGAGCACAAAATGATTTATTATTGAAAATAACGCAATACTTTCCAAATACAAATTATAAAATTTTCATAATAATTATATTGAAAGATCCATAAATAAAATAAAAGTCTGCTTATTGTAAATAAATTTTTAAAAAAGCCAAAATATCATATAAAAGTAAATTTATATTTAGAGCAGAATGACAGATCAGTTTATAAATTTTCATATTCAAAATAATAATAATAAAAAAAATTAAACTTCATATATCATTTGTATGACTTTTTGTAAAGAATACATTTGTATGATCTATTTTGATTGATAAATTTAAAAATAAAAGAATTCTTAATAAAGAGTTTCCAATATTTTAACTGTAATCATTGTTGTATATCAGAATACATATTAAATTATTTTATTATTATAAAACATGCAAATATAGGCTTGCATAAATACTTGTACAAAGGATTGAAGAGTGTTATACAAGTTCTCAACAAAAAAGATTTGTACTAAAATCATTTAATTCTTTATTTAATAATAATACTGTTTATAAACTTATTTAAACATTTAATTAAAAATTTATATGATAAACCTTAAAATTACTAGCCTTTTAAAATAATTACAAAACATTCAATGAAAACATTGTAATAAATAGTGGAATAAATCTCTTTTAGGAATGCTTTATTTTTAACTGATATTAGATTTAAAAAAATACAAGAAAAATTTTACATAAATTTGTATAAACATTATGGATATTATCATTTTTATATTAATTTTGCTCATGGGCATATGAATTGGGAAGCAGGGGAAGCAACTACCTTCTCAAATTTGGGCAAAACAGTGGAGAAAATTTGGACAATTCAAGAACAAACAAAATCAGACTGAGAAAGTGATGGCAAATTAAAAATTGGTACTGTATATGTTTTTATTAGTGTAAAATTTCAGGCAAATCAATTCCCTCATTAACCAAAGTGTCTCCATTTGCCCATGATTTTGCTCTTATTTTAAATAAAACTATATGAATATGATGAATAAAGAATTTACTTGGTTCAGCAGCATTCAGTAAAGGTGTTTTTTCTTTATTTTCTGTTTGTTCCACTGAATTAGACACAGGACGGGACTTATTTGATGTTGTTTCTACTGGAGTTTCATTTTTTTCTCTTCTTACATCAGGACTAGGAGAACGGGACTGTCCTTTATCGCCTGATCCCATTCCACCAAATACTGCACTAGTTAAAGCAGTCACATTTACAAGTGCACCTATTAAAATGCAAAAGAATTTATTGTTGCACATTTTGAACACATCATTAATAATCTTGAAACACTTAAGACAATCACATTACTAAGCATTTTTACATAGAAAGCAATAATTTTCAATCATTTTTTTGATAATAATTTTCAAAAAAATAATTGCTTCCAACTACTGTTAATTCTACTAAGGTAGACTATACACAAGATGAGACAAAGAAGAAATAATCTTTTAAATAAATCTATTGTATGGCAAATTTTGCCTATCTTACAATTATGAAGCAAGGTATGTCTGAAAGGGACCAGTGTCCACAGAAATTTTCAAAATTTACTTTTCAGTCACTGTCATTGAACTGGAAAACTTTCTGTCTTTATTACATCTAATATTACGAAGAAATCAGTCCCCACTATACTCGTATGACCCTAATCTCTTAATTATCTATCTACTTCTTAAGCAGAAATAAGTCGAAACCGATTACTTTGTACTTGAATATTTGTAGTCTTGTGAAAGAAGTGGAAAGACAAATTTTTATGACAACAATACATAAATCGTAAATTTAAGGAAAATAAATTCTAGAGCTTTTTCTGTACCTTGTGCATCTCATTCATTAAATTTAATTGTAAATGGTACTGCCAAAGTAACAGTTAATATTTTTAACATTGTACAAAGAATTGTGCACGTTTTTTCCTGCATCTCCTTATAGATGGGACACACTAAATCGTAATATCATTATTTTAACATCGAAATCTGTAAGTAATACAAAATGGGAGAGCGGAATAAAAGCAGAATAAATATATCAAATATTTTAATAGATTTTTTTAAACTGCTGTCAACTATACATAACTATCATAAAAACATACCAGTAAAACCAAGTACCAGTAAAACCAGTAAAAGGGTTAAATTATAAATCTACTCGCAATTCACATAANTTTTAAATAAATCTATTGTATGGCAAATTTTGCCTATCTTACAATTATGAAGCAAGGTATGTCTGAAAGGGATTAGAGAGAAGATGAATGGGACTTTCTACTAAAAGATCCACCAGACAACAAAGAATCACACAAGGCAATTTATCTTACCACCCTTGTTGTTGTCGGGTTTTGTTTTGTTGTCAGGTTTTGTTTGTACGGAGTCCGTAAGGCTTTGCTTTAGATGGTGGAACATGCCTGTAGGAAGGATTGTAAAATTAGAGGGTAAGGGGAAACAACAAAGCACATGCACCATAAATTTGGACTACTAAAATCTAAAACATAAAAATATTTATTAATTTATAATATGCAAAATATAGAAAGAAGTGTCATGCAAATTATTTTTGAATTGAAAATAATAAAACATAGTTCACAGTCATATCATGATTAACAATTTCTGCAAATACACCAAAAATAACAAAATGTGATTTATAAAAATAACAGAGCACAAAATGATTTATTATTGAAAATAACGCAATACTTTCCAAATACAAATTATAAAATTTTCATAATAATTATATTGAAAGATCCATAAATAAAATAAAAGTCTGCTTATTGTAAATAACAAATTTTTAAAAAAGCCAAAATATCATATAAAAGTAAATTTATATTTAGAGCAGAATGACAGATCAGTTTATAAATTTTCATATTCAAAATAATAATAATAAAAAAAAATTAAACTTCATATATCATTTGTATGACTTTTTGTAAAGAATACATTTGTATGATCTATTTTGATTGATAAATTTAAAAATAAAAGAATTCTTAATAAAGAGTTTCCAATATTTTAACTGTAATCATTGTTGTATATCAGAATACATATTAAATTATTTTATTATTATAAAACATGCAAATATAGGCTTGCATAAATACTTGTACAAAGGATTGAAGAGTGTTATACAAGTTCTCAACAAAAAAGATTTGTACTAAAATCATTTAATTCTTTATTTAATAATAATACTGTTTATAAACTTATTTAAACATTTAATTAAAAATTTATATGATAAACCTTAAAATTACTAGCCTTTTAAAATAATTACAAAACATTCAATGAAAACATTGTAATAAATAGTGGAATAAATCTCTTTTAGGAATGCTTTATTTTTAACTGATATTAGATTTAAAAAAATACAAGAAAAATTTTACATAAATTTGTATAAACATTATGGATATTATCATTTTTATATTAATTTTGCTCATGGGCATATGAATTGGGAAGCAGGGGAAGCAACTACCTTCTCAAATTTGGGCAAAACAGTGGAGAAAATTTGGACAAATCAAGAACAAACAAAATCAGACTGAGAAAGTGATGGCAAATTAAAAATTGGTACTGTATATGTTTTTATTAGTGTAAAATTTCAGGCAAATCAATTCCCTCATTAACCAAAGTGTCTCCATTTGCCCATGATTTTGCTCTTATTTTAAATATATTATGTACTGTACCATGATATTATAATAATAGTAAAAATAGCAACTATGAATAATACTGATGAAAATAAAACATTTCAAATTATGTTCATTATTATATATAATTAAAAGCAATATGAAAAAATAGAAAAAACTGAAATAAAATTCAACAGTAAAAAAGAAAATATCAACAGCATGAAAACATATAAGTTACAAGTGCCATATTATCTTGAGCTGTAATTTAACAAGTGCAGCATAGACTTTCAGTTATTTTAATATTATGATAAAAAAGTAGCATTAAATATGATTTATAGTTTCCAAAAAAAGTTCACAGAAAGAAAATACAGCTTAGATTAAAACGTTTTTTTTCCAGCACTATCAGGATCGGAATCTAATATTCCAAATATTCAAACAGTAACCTAAACAACTGAATACCTAAAAAATATTCACGAAACTGATTTTCTTCAGCAGATCCTTGCCTGAAGTCTTAAATTGCATTAAGAACTGACCAAGTTTTTTTGAAATACTGTAACAAGTACAGTAGAGCGTCGATTATCCGAATCAATTGGGGACTGGGGTTGTTCGGAAGATCGATGTTTCGGATAACCGATTATATACGAAAAAATATATTAATTTATCCCATCTTGACATTTTCCTTCCGTTGCGTGTCGCTTCGCGTTGAATTTTCGTCGATGTTAAGTCTGACGAAGCCTATTGTATCGTTAAAAATTATTTTTTTTATTTTGTACGAACAAAATAAATATATTGAAAAATATAAAAACAATAAAAAATTATACTTCAGAAGTTAATTTAGTATCAAAAACGTAAAATATTTGAGTAGCCCAAGACATAGCCAAAGATTGCAGCGCCACAGCACTGGCGAAAATTTAACTTTGCCTACTGGAATTCTTTCGGATGATTGACTTTCGGATAATCGGCGCTCTACTGTACTTCAGTTTTTCAGATATTGATAACTGATAACTATAAACTTCAGATAAATTTTCTCTTATTTTTTATCACAACATTTTTGTTGATTTACAATTTCTGTGAAAGATAATGATAATTTAATGAATATGTATTAAAGAAATTAAATTTAAATTTTAATGTTCATCTTTCGAACAGATGAAAATTCGAATAATGGTCTAATCTGGTATAGTGGTTTTTCAGTTTTCTAAATTAGAGTAACTGTAAGTAATTTGAACTATTCAATGATAGGCAGAGCAACATGCCGACTAGAGTATTACTGATTACTTGTCGCATCAAATGGTAACGTCTCCTCGAAATCAGGACAATGTTGGGGCATCCCCGTGGACAATTTGTGCCGTCCACGCACGAGCGACAGAAGAAATATTCAAGGACTATTTACCCGTGGACAAGGCAGGTTAAATCGCAACCATCAACATTGGCACAATGATAGGATGAAGCCAAGAACTAGTTGAAATGCTGAAAGAACCACTGCATTGATATCGCCTTTGTCCAAGAAACAAAATGAAGGGGAGCGAAGGCCCGAAATTTTGATGAAGGAAAGAAGTGTGGGGTTAGCCGATTGAGTGAGGAGATTTCGACAGCCGAGCGGTCAATACTGTCGTGTGGGCGCAGAATGATTCACCGAGACAGGTTTACCATATAAAACCGTTTAATAACATTAAAATTTCTTACAATATTTTCTTGATTGACGGATTATCACACCACGAAGTGCGAGGATAAAGTTCAAGTAGAGTTCGAAAAGTTCGTGTTTCCGTTTCCTGCAGTTCGGCGAAGACGGTGAAATAATCGTCGGCCCCGGGGCGAATGGCACTGCTTCAGGTGGTTTTTCTCGGACGAACCGACGAGCCTGGAGGTCGTCCGTGACACTTTCAGATGATGTTGCTTCCACTAGATCCGAAACGTTCTTTCCAGGATTCGGCGGGGACACACGTCCAGGAGGATAAGACTATGAATCAAGAACCTTTGTAACTTGAATCGCACGGTTTTATAGATTTCTTAACCTCAGTCGCCTCTCCATTGGTCTCTCCTTGTCACCTGGTGACAATTCGACACCCGATGGAGAGTGCGGGAGAGGTCAGCGTCGCGACTGAATATGATTCCTCTTTCGTCGCTTTTTCTCGACTTTATTCCTTTCCATTGTTTAACTAATTTACACAAAAATTTCCATTGTTTGATTGAGACATCTAATCCTTTCCATTCGCGTCTGAAAAGAAGCACTTTAAATTTCCGATCGATACCCTTCATTCGGACTTCTCAGTCGACCCCTATTCGGGTCCTCACAGAAGCTTTACTACAAGGATTTTTTTAACTCTTTCCACCCTATGGGCACTAAGAATGTCTCTTTTAGTATGCCCATCATGGGTTCGGCCAGGCCCACAATGGGGTGGCCGGGTGGTGAGGGTTGTGGGCCAAGATATCTGGTCAGGTCGCCCCTTGAAAAATTCCTGGGGATTTTTTGATCCCGGGACCCCAGAGCAGTAAGTTGCAACCTTGACCACTCAGCCATCTGGCCATCTTGCTACAATGATTGAAAACATTATTCAGACTGGCATTGTGATCATGATCAGTGAGAAATATCAGGATAATGTAATTGAGCTGTCCCGAATGCCAGTCTGAATGGCCATCAAAACTGAGTCTGGAACAATCACCCTCCAGATTGTTACGTGCTGCAGACAGAATGCCCTATGGCCGAAAAGGACAAATTCTGGGAAAAACTGGATGCTTACTGAAGAACCTGATATTGGGAGGTGACCTCAACAGTCATATTGGAGTATCAAAAGATGGATACAACTAGCACCACGGAAGAAATGGGTTTGGCATTCGTAATGATGATGGAGACTGTGTCAAAGCACATGAACTTGTAGTGAACAATTCTTTTTCAAGAAAAGACCAATTCACCTCATCATCTATGCCAGTGGTGGTCATACTACCTAAATCAACTATCTGCTCATCAGAAGACGAGGCCTGAAGCTGGTGCAAGATGTAAAAGTGATTCCTTCAGAATCAAACTCCCCTCAACATTGGCCTCTCATCATGGACTTCAAACTGGACATTTGGGGCCCGAAGCGCTCTGATTCACTGAAGCAGAACGAATAAAATGGTGGCGCTTGCCAGATTGCAAAGCCCCGCTCTTAGATTGCTCTTACTGATATAAATCGATATGGGTCGACCATAAGTGCTGATACTGATAGATATGGATCGACCAGTATCAGCCATTTGGGATGATTTGGTTGGGCAGGTCTACACTGTGACAACTACCATCCTTGGGAAGACCAAGCCGAGGAAATGGTCATTGACAAGCAAATTTTGTGGTGAAATGAGGAAGTACAAATGTCTGTAAAGGAGAAAAATAGCACTAAAACAGTGGTTTTAAACAAAGGCAGATGACAATCTTAAACACTATAAGATTTTAAAATCAACAGCCAAGTGCACAGTAGCAGCAACTAAAGCTGCATACTATGATCATATATATATAAAATTGGACATGCCTGCAGAGGAAAAATTTACCATCTGGCCAATGCACATTATCAAACCACCCAGGACAGTGGCCAGGTCAATCATGCGAAAGATGAACACAACCAGCTCATGCAAGATCCATGCGTTATCCTTTGTTGCTGGAGCGACTACTTCTCCAAAATCCTCAACGAAGAATTTAACCATTCACCAATTCAGTGTATTGACCCAGTCTAGACCAGTGTAGAACCGACAGTGTCCAAGCAGTTTCATTCCCTGAACACTGGGAATGGAACTGCGTGGAAGTCGTGGGTTCGTGCCTCGCCTGGATGGGCTAGCCACGTGGAGTTTTCCAGTTTTTCTCCATGTCTCTAATACCTAAATAATGGCCTTAAAAGCCCGGAAGGCATCTCCTAGGCAGATCACCCAAGTGTTGGTTATCGTATTTTAACAAAACAAACAAAAACTCTGGACCAGTGTTCCCAATCACTATTCAGAGGCTGGATGGCCGAGCAGTCAAGGTGGTAGCCTACCGCTCTGGGAGGCCTGGGATGGAATCTGGATGGATTGATCCATCCGTGATCTATCCGGGATGGAATCTGGTGGTCCATCTGGATACGTCGGGCCCTGTCCTTCAGCACCCAGTCGCCCCATTGTAAGCCTGGCTGAACCCATAATGGGCTAGCTGAAAGGGGCACTCTTAGTGCCCACAGGTGGAAAGAGTTAAAAAAAACACCATTCAAAAGGTTAAGTAGGGGTGGGGACAACGAAAAATGGGAAGGCAACTGGCCCTGATGATGCTTGGTGGAAGTGTGAAACGCCCCTGGGTGTTGTAGTATCACAATTTTCACTGACCTCTTCAACTGGATCATTAATGAGGAGTTGCACCATCTGCTTGGTCAACCAGTACCGTAGAGCCAATCTGGAAGAATAATGGTGATGTAACTGAATGCACAAACTACCGACGAATGCAACTCCTGTGTTATGCCATGAAAATATTTGAAAGAATAATTGAGCCAGGTTGCACAGTATTGCCACAATCTCCCCAAATCAGTGTTGTTTTGTTAAAGGGACTGGAACAATGGATGCCATACATGCTACCCGGCTACTTTTGGAGAAGCACCTAATCACATGGTGTTTCTTGATCTGGAAAAGGCTTTTGACCACGTCCCATATAAATTCATCAGGCATGCTTTAAGATCCTGTAGCATCCCAGAGGCCTACGTTCAATAGATCCAACTGCTTTATCACAATTTCATCAGTGTGGTCTGCTGTGCAGTGGGAACACCGTCCCCTTTCCCATCAGTGTTGGGTACATCAAGGCTTAGTCCTTTCGTCATTTTTATTCATCCTATGTATGGACAATGTGACGACTGAACTAGGAGTCCTAATATTGGATACTGCTCTAGACAGATGATGTCTTTCTGGTGAATGAACTCCAAAAACAAACGGAGAAATGAAACAGTCGCCTTTGTGTGAGTTTGGGCTTTGACTGAACATCAAGAAGACAGAATACATGGAATTCCATCCCAAGACTACTGGAACTATCAATATCTGTGGAGACTTGAAGAAGGTGGGTTACTTCAGGTACCTAGGTTTCCTCATTTGCAGTGATGGAGACAGCATCCCAGATGCCCGGGCCAATGCTGACTGGATAAAATAGCACCATGTTACTGGGGTCCTGTGTGACCGTCGAATAACACTACGTCTCAAGTCAATAGTGTACAGAACAGTGGTATACCTGGTCGCCCTCTACGGATTGGAATGCTGGCTAGTGACAACAAAACATGAGCAAATCTTACATGCAATGGAGTTCTGATGGTGCCTTGGGCTAACAGGTTTTGACCATGCCACAAATGAGGATTTCAGTTGCGCCAATCACCACAAAAATGCATGAAGGACGACTCAGATGGCACAGAAATATCGTGCATAGTCAGGAATCTTCGATAAAAAGATTAGTCATGCACCTTGACCCGGAGGCAGATGACCTCTTGGCAGGTTTAAGAAGCGTTAGATGGATCGATTAAAGAAGGACATACAACATGCCACAGAGCGGGAAAAACGCTAGGAAAAAGACTATGTAATAAAGAATTCATCTAAAAATTAAATAAATACTGTACAATGACTTGAATTCTCAGTACTGTTACATGAAACCCTTGTTAATTAGAACATGGATAGTTCGAAATCTTGTTAGTTCATAACTATACTCTTGTCCTTACCGGGGATATAGTGATTTACACGTTAAGAAATTTGGTTATTATTATAATTCAGTTAGTTCGAAATATGGCTATTTCGAACTAACTGAATTATAATAATAAGGGGTGTCATCTTACTCATGGACTACCCCTTTCTTTCTTTTATCTCATAAAATACGGCTGGTTTTCGGGATTGTAAGATTGAGGTATTTGTTGGGTTGTAGGCTACTATATTTGAGCGACTTACTACATTTTGGGCCACTTTAAAAATAATTTGGATTACATTTAGAGGAATTCTGCTTTACTTTTTACAAAACCTATCTGGCAACCTGTGAGGTTCCCAACGGACACGTGCTGTTTACCTGCAGTTTATTTACATTATTAATATTATTATTATTTAACAAAATTAGCATTGGTATACCTAACCGTATTTCATTTGCTTTATAAACTATTTCCAGGACCTTCAATGAGTTTCTTACAGTCAACGAATCTTCATCCTCATATTCCCGGAAGATTGTTTACCGCTGCAAGGGTAACTTTTCATTGATAATGAACATTGATCATCGATGAGGAATATTTAATAGTCATTCATAACAGAAAAATTTAGGCCAAATAAACAATCCATTACAAAGTTACATAGAACATTTAATGCAATTTTATTTGCTCCTTGTAAAACACGAAACAAATAAAAAAAATATAAAGTGCAAAATGTTACTTTTGTCTTTGGTCTCCCCTACCGTAACAAACGAAATGATTAACAAATCAAAACATTGCATAAAGGCATATAAAGGAGGTACTCGTCATGTAATATGAAGATTCATGACACATCAAGATGGAACACGTCATAAATCTACATCTACATTTATATGTCCCGTAAAATATTTAACATCATAATATAAAAAAGGTCAAAGAGTATAAAGCTATTGCCATATTTTTGACAATGTTTATGGCAATAGCTTTTTATAATACTCAGAGATAAATACCTTTAATAAACAAAATTTAATGTTAATATAAGCATTGTGCAATATCAACGTTAATAAAAAATTTATGCTGTCAGCATTTTTATTCAAATATCAGTGTTTTTCTACCAACCTCCCAGCTATTCTCCATTCTAAAGGTTGGCATGTGTGTACAGTACTTTTAAAATTTTATAAATAAATTATATACAAATTAAAGTTACCATATTTTGTTATATTTATAATACAATAAGCATATAGTTTAAATTATTAATATGAAAAAAATGTGTTTAAAGTCTATTATTGCACAATACATTAGATAGTCTCGTGATATTGTATAAAAAATTAATGAACTTAATAAATTTTAAAATAGAGTAAATATATTAATACCTGCTATGGAATTAAATGGTCCCGAAACATTTTTCTGTGCAAAATCAACATTGGCAGGAGTCACATCTAACCCAGCTTTATCTGGTGAAAATTCCAGGATACCGGTTCCACTATACCTTCTATCTTCATCACTATAACCAGTACCGTCATCTGTTGATAGTTGACGACCCATTCTACGTTTCCGTCTAGGTCTAGGATACTGATATGCATGTTTCCTTGGATCCTCTAATTAAAATAAAAATTAAATTATTAAATTTGAAGGCATTTCACTGTTTGATTAAATACAATCAGATTAATCTAAAAAAAAAAAATACTAATTGATGCTAGGAATAAGTGAATGTTATTATCTTTTATATCAAATTTCTGATTTAAAATATAATATTTTCTTTAAGAATTTTGTATTTTTATTTGAACTAACCTGTTTATTAAAACAGGACCTTCAGATATTTCTTTTCAATTTTGTATTATATGAATCAAGCCATAGTTGAAAATAATGCTCTTGTATATCTATCGGTATCAATTAAAACTGAAAAATTTTGTCAGTAGTTGAATGACTCTTATAATTATTTTTTCAAATTCTTCAACATTTATTTAAAATGCAAATACATTAATGAGATTAAAATTTTAATTCTTGTTGTCTATAGTAGAATATATATATATAAATTCAAAATAATGGAAATATTATTGAGGTGCAATTTGAAAAAAATTATAGACCTATAAATTTCCACTGTCAGTGTGTCCTTCCTTAATTTCCAGGGTTAGATAGATGAAAGACGAGACCAGTTGTGGAAACATTAGGAGCAGGAGACCCCGATTAACCATATACGAACTTCTGATAGAAACCAGAAGTTACGTTATTTCAGTTCAAAAATTTCCCCCGAAAGGAGTTATATAGATAACCTGCATGACTCTGTTGTTAAAGGAAAAGTATGATATACAGGGGCAAGTCACTACAGTACTAATTTCAAGTGGAGAGAATATATTTTAAATTAAATAAATTAAAAATATGATGAGAAAGAGATGGAAATCAACTGTCTTTTTTCATTTCTTATTGAGTGTAAAATCTCAGTTAAAGATTTATTTTATATCCTTATGATTTCTTTTGAATGACTAACCAGAGTTGCTACTGTGATATAGGTAGGGCCTATACTTTTAAAATAGATCATATATAATTGTTTACAATTTCATATTCTGTTATGTTATATATATTAATTTTTATCAATGTTAAATAAACTGATGACTAAAGTGACTTTTAAGCATTTCTTAAATTATTTAGTAATCGAAATTTAGTACAGCTCTCCCTTAATAGTCCGACAAGTATGGGACCAAAGGGGTCTTGGATTACCAAAAGTGTCCGGATTACCGAAAATAATTACATATTTTGCATTGTTTTGCTAGCAGTAGCTTACAATATTCCCTATTCCAACTGTTCGAACAGAACTGCTCAAATAAAACACACGAAATGCGTGTCATCGTGTAAGAATTGGATGGGGAGATTCACGTCGCGACATGCTTCTATGCAAGCAGACACGTAACGGGGACGGATACCTTGACGGGAGGTGCGTCGGACTACTGAGCATGTCGGATTAAAAAACGTCGGACTATCAAGGGAGAGCTGTAGTATCTATTTTATGATACAGTCAAGTCTGCTTAAGAAAACACCCTCAGAATTGCTGCATCATACACTCTTATTCAAGTAACAAGAGGATTAGTCATGGTTTTCAATTCTCTCTACTTTTTCATGTCTAAGGAGTTTTGTTTAATTTATAATACATTCGGAAATGTTAAAATTCATTAACACCTAATTTTACTGTACTTACCTATTAGTTTACCTTATATCAACAATTTTAATTGTTCTATCAAATAATCACTATACACAGATTATTTACCAGTCACATTATTTTTACTTTTTCCAGGACATACATTAAAATACCCAGCTGAAGAGATGTAAACGTCCTTGCTATAAAATTTCTGAATGTTCTTCTAATAGACATACAGTATAAAAATAAATAAGATTTGTGAGTAGAACATCTAAGAAGTCGACCGCTACAGATCGATAGGTAAAAATATTTAGACGTTTCATAGCAAATCATATACCATACAAACAAGTTTTAAAGCTTGTCGAGTTTGTCCTGTGTCTCCCGGGAACCAATGCTATAAGCTTTAAAAAGTGTTTCCTGCAGTGAATATTATGTGGACAACCGAGAAAACACAAGCTCAAAGTTGAAACGTTAAGAAGGCATGCTGATAGTCAAGTGTAACTTCAGTGACAAGTCCTGCGAAAACTGTACTGATATTAATATGTCTCGACAATACGGCTCTTCCATTGGGAATATGCATATACGAATTTACATTCGAATATACAATAACAATCTTATCGTTGATTTTCGCATGTATAGAAATTTGTAATAAAATACATAGTGTGGTTATAATAAAATATTAATTTTAATTAATTCAAAGTATGTTCAAACATGAAAATAATCGATGATATGTATTTATATTTTAGAAAATAAAAGGGAAGCCATACACTAATATCATCATATTACATGCATATAAAATAAATACATTTTATAAATGTATTTATTTTACTTGCAATAGTCATAATTCTTTAAGTAAGGGCAATTTTTAAATTAATGTCTGTAAAAATATTTCAAATCTAATTATAACCACAACTACATAATATTTAGATATAATAAATTAACTAATAATTATTCAGTACTCTATATAAAATAAAAAAAAAAACTATTACTTACCATCTTCTGTTGAACTAGGCTGTCGACATAGCATTTGTTTTGAGCGAAATAAATCCGGATCAACTCCAGCCTGATCCTCCTATTTAAATATAATTAAAATTTATTAATTTTAACAAAGCTGGCAAAGAAGGAAATCTGATTATTTTTAATTGTAATACAGTGTAATATTTAAATAATAAGAGCTTAGAGAAGTAACTCAATTGGATTAGGATAAATTTCTCTCCTTGAAAAAAATATATTTATGTTTAAAATCACTTAGTTAAAATCGTGTGTGGAGTCATTTATGAGACTTAATAATATAAAAAATTATATTTTAATAATTATAAAAAAGCGAAAGGCTTATTTTTAAGGATAGGAATGTATTTTTAAAGCATTTATAATTGCCAATAATAAATAAAATTTTCATTAAGTGTGACTCCATTCGAGATACATGATCCCCTCTATCTCCTCTTTGACCTTTAATTATCAAAATTTAATAAAATCGATGTCCCATTTATACAAATAACATGCCAACTTTTAAATGGTGCAATTTCCATGCCCTTCGCTAGAATCGAATAACAACAGATGGGGTGCTATAAAACATTTGAAGATTTCATCAAAAACACTCTATACAAGCAATAGGATCAAAATTAAGTCATTTTTATTTTTCATAGATTTTCAGAAAATTTGTAAAAAGTATTAACTCTTTCATTCATTATACACATGAATCAGATTTCACTGCGGCATGTTGTATTTGTAACAGACTGCATGAAAAAAACCAAGCCATAAATGAAAATCAAATTTTTGTAAGAGAATAGAATTGACACATCTTATCTATTTAGTCAAGGATATGATTGAAGCAATGCAGACTAGAAAGACAGGCCTCGGTGTGCCACGCCTTTTTTGTAATGTAATCGAAATAATGCAAAAAAAGAGAAAAATCTTATTCTTACCGAATCGTATCAATTCCCTGTAATAATCATCAGAAACTAATGGAGGAAAGAAATTTACATATTTTGGACCAATAACTTTTTATCTAATCAGTATTCATATTAAGCTACAACGCATAACGCATGCGTTTTTGTATATAATAAAACTTTCATATAAATATTAATATTTGTTTTTTAAGTAAGCAAAATTCTTATCGTTTAGTTAAAGACTTCATCGATGTAGTCCACGTTCATTTTTGATCATCCGAACCAACCTTATTAATTTTGGTTTCATCTGACAATACAATCACCTTCAAATCTTTTAAGATCTAGCGTTTTGTAGAGAAAAGAGGTCTCAGTTTATGTGATTTGGTAAGTTCAGGCTTCCCAGGCTTAACTCTAGCTTTCTAATTGTTGGGTTGCAATTTGAAAAAATTGTAGACCTATAAATTTCCACCTATCCGTCCTCAATCTCGAGAACAATGTTAGATAGAAGAAAGTAAAGACAAATATGAAACGAATAAGAACAGGAGGCCCCGATTAATTATATACGAATAAATCAGAAATCACATTATTTCAATTCAAAAATTTATCCCTGAAAAAAAGTTAGGTAATAACCGGCATGACTCTATTGCTAACAGGAAAAGTGTGATGTACAGGGGCAAGACACTACTTATATGAGGTGGAAAGCATATATTTTAAATTAAATTTAAAAATTATCATTAAAAATTGCAGGGTATTGTGACAATGTAACAATAAATAATTGCTCATTATGTTTTAGAATTCTTCGAATAGTTGAAGTACTCACTTCTATTCCTAAGCCATCTTTCAATTCTCTTTTTACCTGTGATGACGTGTCGCAATGTCAATTTGTTATCAAACTACAGAGTATCTTTCTGTTTGAGCGCTCAATACCTTCTTCCTGCCAGGTGATGTGGTAGCTCACTAGCTCACTATTCTTTATTCTCGACACATTCCAACGTCCAGCACCAGTTTCTATAGCTATTTACTCAATTTACTCAACAGATAATTCTTTCAGCAGGTTCAAAATATGAAGTTTCTTCTCAATCGACAGCTTTCTCATGCTGATACAGATCAAACATTTGCTTATTTACAGGCAGACATCTCGTTAATATGCACAAAATTATGCTGTTTAACTTTGTTGTCATAACAAATTAATTTATGCGTCAAAATCCTTCCAATGCAATTATGTATAGAAATTAAATAGCATAGCTATTTTAATAATATCAGCTTGATTAAGGTTTAAAATGAGCAGTAAAGGAAAAATAAAATTACGTTGCCAAAGTTCCACGGCCACGTATTAGGACCTGATAGGCTGCAGATTTCTTATGGCTGAAATAAAGTATTGTACAGTACAAACGACTCAAAATTCGTCAAATATTGACACAGACATGTGAAAATTATTTAGAATTGTCCTGCTTTGTCTTATTAAATAAAGTAGAAAATGTTCCCACCAAACTTTTTTCCTAAATTTACCATATGTAGTCAGTGAATTATATGAATATTTTTCATTTATGTAATAAATATAAGACAGATAGCGTGTTTTCTTCGATTCATCATGAACCACTGTTCCAACCAAGTATAAAATAAACTTTCAACGCCGTGGATAGCTACGATAAAAGTATCAAACCAGATTGTATGAAAGCGGTCTTAACAACAATATGTTATTCTCTATATGCGTACATTGTAAAAATAAATAAATCATGTTATGGAAAAATAATTGTTTGAAATCTCTTAGAAACACTTTAAAATCTTATGCATGTGCCTGACAGTAAAGTCTTCTTTTACACAAGATTGATATATGCGAATTTGTGTTTTTGTAGATAGTGAATAATTAGGTTAACCAATTCCTCCCGGAGGCAAAGAAGTGGATTTTAGTGGATTTTAGCGACAAGAGACAAAGTTAAGAGCCTGGAAGATCTGTCTTGGTCTCACCTATCAGGCGACTGGTACTTTCTTGCCCTGGGAATGAGTGTCAGCACATCCTGGATTTTGTAGTGGGCTTCCAAAGTATTCTTCCTGAAGATTCACTCAGCGAGACTGCTACTAACAGGTTTTCTATGAAGACCTCTCATCTTTAGATAGTATATATGGTAGTAATTGCTTGGTCTTGTTTGGTTCTGCCAACAGAAGTGAAAAGACGTTGCAGTGTATCTTGTGTCACTTGATAGAGATGTTGCTGGAACGTAGTAGAGGCTGTCTGTTTGGCAGTGCGACCCTTATCCTTTTGCTTGTAGAGGTTCTTAACCACCCTGACACCTCATTGTGGGCCAAACCAAACCCACGAGAGGTTAGGATTAAAACAGGTCCTCTTAGTGCCCACACAGCAGAAAGAAAGAAAAAGCGAAAAACTGAATAAAACAAAAATAATTTGGATTATAATTAGGGATGGCAACTTTTCACGAGGGAAAAAAGAGATGAAAATCTTAAGTACGCTAAGCTCTAAATTTCATCTCTGGTATAAGGCGAGTTAAAAAATGATTTTTTAGCACGCTCCACTATAGCGTTGAAGTGCTTATGTTAGGACGTTTGTGTGTCTGTCATAATTTAAGTTACAAAACAATTTCAATAATATCAAAACTAAAATTAATAAAATTTATCTGAGATATAAACATGACATTATAATATTTAACAAATAATGGATTAAAATCGATATTTTTAACATAAATCTATTACATGAATAGCTAATAACATTCAGTAACAACTTTCTCAAAATAATTAATACAGCTGAACTAAAACTATTCAATTAAAATTGCTGAAGACTAAATTACTGAAATCAATTTTCGCTAGCTTTTAATAGCTAGTGTAAAATTACTAATTACTAATTATTAATTATACCTTCTAAACAAATACTCGTTCTACTCACAATGAAACAGCATTAAATAGTAACTACGTTCTCAAAACATCCATCAAAAGTCCAAAAAGTTTATATCCATAATAAAAATAAATCTTTAAATGACACTATCTAAATAAAATATCATCTTTAAAAGTATTCATATAATTTAGATTTAACCTTTTTCAGTCAATTAATTGATTTTTTTTTAAGTTTTCTTTAAATAAACTTTATGTTATATTTGTTTTGGAATATATTGTTTTGCCGTGAGATTGAATCGTAATTCTAAGTCAGTAATTCTTAATCTTTCATACTGCCAATAACTCTTCAATTTTTGAAAAATTTGTTGAGTGCTCTTCTTATATAAAATAGGATCTCACTATTTGATCTACGCGACAAAAACATTCTATCTGTACAAAACACTCTTGCTATAGAGATCTTAGCAATAATACTGCTCAATGTGGTTCCCATTCGAAAAGTGTAAACCCCGAAGGCAATGAGCAATGTGAACCTCAGCAGCCAAACGTAATTAATTTTCTATCATGCCTATCACATACAGTGTGATACTGTCTTTCAAGGCTTCCAAACTTGTAAAATGTCCTTGATAAAACATTTTTTAAGTGTCCCACAAACAAAAACACTTAAGTTCAGGAAAACAAAGTGGCAAGGCAATCAGAACGCACGAGTCATTCTTCTATTATCAATGAAATGTTACGCAGAAACCGCTGTACATAGTGCCCGATATGTGGAGGAGTTTCATTTTCTCATGCAAGTAGTCAACTTAAAGCATTTTCGCTGTTGCAGTTGAAATACGACAAAAATGTTAAGCATCTTTTGGGATGGTATCGCTGAGCCGTTACAGAATATGTCACACGCCCATTGGGATGAGCTTCTTTGAAATGTGGCTGTGAATCCATTAAGCGAGTGAAGTGAAGTATGCTGAAAAACTCGAAAATTTAACGACAGTTATGTGTTTTCACTTTTATTGCGAGAAAATGTATTTTGCAGTGAAAGTGAATACCGGTATTCGTCGCTCCACAGAATCTTTCACGAATGTGACATATCCATCTCCATATGACAAAGAAGATCAATTCAAATTCATTTCTTGACCATCATATCTGATAAATAAAACTAATATATTTTATGGGAATTCTTCCACATTTTCAGAAATGTCACTGTATCAGATTTGGTTGCATTTGAACTGCTAAATATGTTTCTAAACAATGTTGAATACGGCTACATTAATTACGATTATATTTCAGTCTAAATTCAGGCATAGATACACCTATTAACAGGGGAAATTTATTTATGCCTCATTTAGATATAACCTAGATCTAAACCTACAAATATTTAAGTACCACCAGTGGCCGAGTGGATAAAACTACTAAACACTGGTAGTTGATCGTCGGTTTGCATTTCCTTCGCTATTAGTAACATCTAAATAGGGACCAGTTTCTCATAATAAGACCTCCAGTGAGGCATTTTTCCATCGACATCGACCATCGGCAGGTCGTCCAAGTGTCGATGTTGTCATGACCGAACAAATATTTAGATCTAGATTAGAGATTTACGAAAAAAATAATACATAATTATATATAGTCACTCCCTCGGGTTTCGAACAATTCAGTTTACGAACAAAATTCTGAAGGCCATATTTGCCCCGGTTTCCGAACAAGCTACTCGGCAAAGAGCCGGATACAGACTGTCAACTCCATATACTTACTGTGTTAAAGAAAGTCGACGGCCCGACCAATCGATGACGGGAGTACCAATTCAGAAGTTAGTAGCGCCGAGATAGCCTCGCGTCATTAGACGTCAAAACAGGAACCACGAATGATATTATTTTTCAAATTAGACTTCAATGCACATAACGATAAGACACTACTTCCGTTTTTCGGTACGTGCCGCAATTTGTTTCGGTTTGCGAACAACTTTTAGAAACGAATTAAGTTCTAAACCCGAGTTTGACTGTATTTATAATTAATATTTATATATTTTTTTTATTGAAGTCTTTTTTCGAAGAAGAAAACAATTGTCAAAGAAAAATATTAAAAAAAGATGTAAAACGTTACATAAATTTTTAACTTCAGAAAAATATCTCGCAGAATTCTCGCAACGCTAAAAGAGGTGTTTTCATCGCTGAGGAAGCATGCCTAAATTAAGAACACGGTTCTAAATTGACTCCAATATGGGACTTTACTGTTAAAAGTTTGTGAAAGATTTCGATCCGGTTCTGATCTGAAAATTTGTAATTTATTATAAATAAGGAACATTAGGAATTCATTATCATATGTTAAACTGATGCCATTCGGAAGCGGGCAACTATTTCTTCCTGAAGGAGAAACATGCCACACTGTCATGAGTCTAGATAAATTAATCCAATTTAAACAATGATTTCTAAAAACTTAGATCTCACAAATTAATTTCAAATTCATTCGACACATAAATCTGTATTTTAAAGCAGGATTTAACTGAAAACTTTAGTCTTTCATACATAGTTTATTTGTATATATATGCTTTAAAGTAATATTAATGACAATACAAAATAATCTACTTACATCACGGAGGTTAAAAGTTATTTCTAAATTGGTAGAGAAGGCATCATAAAATTCAGGGTACATATCGAGTACATCAAGAAGATCCTCTCTCAAAATTTTGTGAAGGTCACAATAAGTCAAGGCACGTACATTACAGTTGGACTTTCCAACAGTTGGATGCTTACAAGGGTTTTCACCAAATATGTCATCCTTACCTAAAGCATTTTAAAGTATTTTTATATGTTATAGATGAATAAATGACTATCGTTTATTCATTTATAATATATATAGTTTACAATGTTTTAATGATTTGCTAAAATTATATGTTAATTTTGATGAATAAAAAATGAAATTGTAATAATCTTACCCACAATAGCCATAACGACATCGTCTTTCAAGATTTCAATAGTTCCTCGAGAGATAAAATACAGGGCAGTAAGAACATCACCTCGATGAACTAATGTGTCGCCTGGTGGTGCATGAGTAGTTTTAAACTTCATGGAAAGAGCTCTTAGACATCCTGGACTGGCACCTTTAAATGCAGGGCAATTATTCAGTAGATTGCGATTAAGATGAAGACAGATATCTGCTTGTAGACAGTCAGGAAAACCTTTGAGCACCTACAGATAATGCAGTTTCTAGAATGTCAAATATTTCATAATTTTGAAATATGAACAAAAATAAAAAATAAATAAATTATTTTTGTCCTTAATAAATTGATGAAATTATTTNAAAGAGTATAAAGCTATTGCCATATTTTTGACAATGTTTATGGCAATAGCTTTTTATAATACTCAGAGATAAATACCTTTAATAAACAAAATTTAATGTTAATATAAGCATTGTGCAATATCAACGTTAATAAAAAATTTATGCTGTCAGCATTTTAATTCAAATATCAGTGTTTTTCTACCAACCTCCCAGCTATTCTCCATTCTAAAGGTTGGCATGTGTGTACAGTACTTTTAAAATTTTATAAATAAATTATATACAAATTAAAGTTACCATATTTTGTTATATTTATAATACAATAAGCATATAGTTTAAATTATTAATATGAAAAAAATGTGTTTAAAGTCTATTATTGCACAATACATTAGATAGTCTCGTGATATTGTATAAAAAATTAATGAACTTAATAAATTTTAAAATAGAGTAAATATATTAATACCTGCTATGGAATTAAATGGTCCCGAAACATTTTTCTGTGCAAAATCAACATTGGCAGGAGTCACATCTAACCCAGCTTTATCTGGTGAAAATTCCAGGATACCGGTTCCACTATACCTTCTATCTTCATCACTATAACCAGTACCGTCATCTGTTGATAGTTGACGACCCATTCTACGTTTCCGTCTAGGTCTAGGATACTGATATGCATGTTTCCTTGGATCCTCTAATTAAAATAAAAATTAAATTATTAAATTTGAAGGCATTTCACTGTTTGATTAAATACAATCAGATTAATCTAAAAAAAAAAAAATACTAATTGATGCTAGGAATAAGTGAATGTTATTATCTTTTATATCAAATTTCTGATTTAAAATATAATATTTTCTTTAAGAATTTTGTATTTTTATTTGAACTAACCTGTTTATTAAAACAGGACCTTCAGATATTTCTTTTCAATTTTGTATTATATGAATCAAGCCATAGTTGAAAATAATGCTCTTGTATATCTATCGGTATCAATTAAAACTGAAAAATTTTGTCAGTAGTTGAATGACTCTTATAATTATTTTTTCAAATTCTTCAACATTTATTTAAAATGCAAATACATTAATGAGATTAAAATTTTAATTCTTGTTGTCTATAGTAGAATATATATATATAAATTCAAAATAATGGAAATATTATTGAGGTGCAATTTGAAAAAAATTATAGACCTATAAATTTCCACTGTCAGTGTGTCCTTCCTTAATTTCCAGGGTTAGATAGATGAAAGACGAGACCAGTTGTGGAAACATTAGGAGCAGGAGACCCCGATTAACCATATACGAACTTCTGATAGAAACCAGAAGTTACGTTATTTCAGTTCAAAAATTTCCCCCGAAAGGAGTTATATAGATAACCTGCATGACTCTGTTGTTAAAGGAAAAGTATGATATACAGGGGCAAGTCACTACAGTACTAATTTCAAGTGGAGAGAATTGTAGCATCCCAGAGGCCTACGTTCAATAGATCCAACTGCTTTATCACAATTTCATCAGTGTGGTCTGCTGTGCAGTGGGAACACCGTCCCCTTTCCCATCAGTGTTGGGTATATCAAGGCTTAGTTCTTTCGTCATTTTTATTCATCCTATGTATGGACAATGTGACGACTGAACTAGGAGTCCTAATATTGGATACTGCTCTAGACAGATGATGTCTTTCTGGTGAATGAACTCCAAAAACAAACGGAGAAATGAAACAGTCGCCTTTGTGTGAGTTTGGGCTTTGACTGAACATCAAGAAGACAGAATACATGGAATTCCATCCCAAGACTACTGGAACTATCAATATCTGTGGAGACTTGAAGAAGGTGGGTTACTTCAGGTACCTAGGTTTCCTCATTTGCAGTGATGGAGACAGCATCCCAGATGCCCGGGCCAATGCTGACTGGATAAAATAGCACCATGTTACTGGGGTCCTGTGTGACCGTCGAATAACACTACGTCTCAAGTCAATAGTGTACAGAACAGTGGTATACCTGGTCGCCCTCTACGGATTGGAATGCTGGCTAGTGACAACAAAACATGAGCAAATCTTACTGCAATGGAGCTCTGATGGTGCCTTGGGCTAACAGGTTTTGACCATGCCACAAATGAGGATTGCAGTTGCGCCAGTCACCACAAAAATGCATGAAGGACGACTCAGATGGCACAGAAATATCGTGCATAGTCAGGAATCTCCGATAAAAAGATTAGTCATGCACCTTGACCCGGAGGCAGATGACCTCTTGGCAGGTTTAAGAAGCGTTGGATGGATCGATTAAAGAAGGACATACAACATGCCACAGAGCGGGAACAACGCTAGGGGAAAGACTATGTAATAAAGAATTCATCTAAAAGTTAAATAAATACTGTACAATGACTTGAATTCTCAGTACTGTTACATGAAACCCTTGTTAATTAGAACATGGATAGTTCGAAATCTTGTTAGTTCATAACTATACTCTTGTCCTTACCGGGAATATAGTGATTTACACGTTAAGAAATTTGGTTATTATTATAATTCAGTTAGTTCGAAATATGGCTATTTCGAACTAACTGAATTATAATAATAAGGGGTGTCATCTTACTCATGGACTACCCCTTTCTTTCTTTTATCTCATAAAATACGGCTGGTTTTCGGGATTGTAAGATTGAGGTATTTGTTGGGTTGTAGGCTACTATATTTGAGCGACTTACTACATTTTGGGCCACTTTAAAAATAATTTGGATTACATTTAGAGGAATTCTGCTTTACTTTTTACAAAACCTATCTGGCAACCTGTGAGGTTCCCAACGGACACGTGCTGTTTACCTGCAGTTTATTTACATTATTAATATTATTATTATTTAACAAAATTAGCATTGGTATACCTAACCGTATTTCATTTGCTTTATAAACTATTTCCAGGACCTTCAATGAGTTTCTTACAGTCAACGAATCTTCATCCTCATATTCCCGGAAGATTGTTTACCGCTGCAAGGGTAACTTTTCATTGATAATGAACATTGATCATCGATGAGGAATATTTAATAGTCATTCATAACAGAAAAATTTAGGCCAAATAAACAATCCATTACAAAGTTACATAGAACATTTAATGCAATTTTATTTGCTCCTTGTAAAACACGAAACAAATAAAAAAATATAAAGTGCAAAATGTTACTTTTGTCTTTGGTCTCCCCTACCGTAACAAACGAAATGATTAACAAATCAAAACATTGCATAAAGGCATATAAAGGAGGTACTCGTCATGTAATATGAAGATTCATGACACATCAAGATGGAACACGTCATAAATCTACATCTACATTTATATGTCCCGTAAAATATTTAACATCATAATATAAAAAAGGTCAAAGAGTATAAAGCTATTGCCATATTTTTGACAATGTTTATGGCAATAGCTTTTTATAATACTCAGAGATAAATACCTTTAATAAACAAAATTTAATGTTAATATAAGCATTGTGCAATATCAACGTTAATAAAAAATTTATGCTGTCAGCATTTTTATTCAAATATCAGTGTTTTTCTACCAACCTCCCAGCTATTCTCCATTCTAAAGGTTGGCATGTGTGTACAGTACTTTTAAAATTTTATAAATAAATTATATACAAATTAAAGTTACCATATTTTGTTATATTTATAATACAATAAGCATATAGTTTAAATTATTAATATGAAAAAAATGTGTTTAAAGTCTATTATTGCACAATACATTAGATAGTCTCGTGATATTGTATAAAAAATTAATGAACTTAATAAATTTTAAAATAGAGTAAATATATTAATACCTGCTATGGAATTAAATGGTCCCGAAACATTTTTCTGTGCAAAATCAACATTGGCAGGAGTCACATCTAACCCAGCTTTATCTGGTGAAAATTCCAGGATACCGGTTCCACTATACCTTCTATCTTCATCACTATAACCAGTACCGTCATCTGTTGATAGTTGACGACCCATTCTACGTTTCCGTCTAGGTCTAGGATACTGATATGCATGTTTCCTTGGATCCTCTAATTAAAATAAAAATTAAATTATTAAATTTGAAGGCATTTCACTGTTTGATTAAATACAATCAGATTAATCTAAAAAAAAAAAATACTAATTGATGCTAGGAATAAGTGAATGTTATTATCTTTTATATCAAATTTCTGATTTAAAATATAATATTTTCTTTAAGAATTTTGTATTTTTATTTGAACTAACCTGTTTATTAAAACAGGACCTTCAGATATTTCTTTTCAATTTTGTATTATATGAATCAAGCCATAGTTGAAAATAATGCTCTTGTATATCTATCGGTATCAATTAAAACTGAAAAATTTTGTCAGTAGTTGAATGACTCTTATAATTATTTTTTCAAATTCTTCAACATTTATTTAAAATGCAAATACATTAATGAGATTAAAATTTTAATTCTTGTTGTCTATAGTAGAATATATATATATAAATTCAAAATAATGGAAATATTATTGAGGTGCAATTTGAAAAAAATTATAGACCTATAAATTTCCACTGTCAGTGTGTCCTTCCTTAATTTCCAGGGTTAGATAGATGAAAGACGAGACCAGTTGTGGAAACATTAGGAGCAGGAGACCCCGATTAACCATATACGAACTTCTGATAGAAACCAGAAGTTACGTTATTTCAGTTCAAAAATTTCCCCCGAAAGGAGTTATATAGATAACCTGCATGACTCTGTTGTTAAAGGAAAAGTATGATATACAGGGGCAAGTCACTACAGTACTAATTTCAAGTGGAGAGAATATATTTTAAATTAAATAAATTAAAAATATGATGAGAAAGAGATGGAAATCAACTGTCTTTTTTCATTTCTTATTGAGTGTAAAATCTCAGTTAAAGATTTATTTTATATCCTTATGATTTCTTTTGAATGACTAACCAGAGTTGCTACTGTGAT